TCCCAGCAACGCGACGATGTTACCCATGGACATAATGTTGCGCGATCGTTTTGTTTGCGGTCTTCAAAATGAAAATCTCCAGCAGCGGCTTTTTGCAGAGCGGGACCTTACGTTTCTCAAGGCGTTAGACATTGCTGTACGAGCCGAGAGCGTAACCAGCGGCAAGAGCGAGAGCCGAGAGTGCCACCAGCGGCAAGTAAAAGCAGATTTTCAAGAAATAAACAAAGCGGGAAAAACGTGTCCGGCACATCGTCGCCAGGAGAAGACGACGCCATCGTCCACGCCCTGCTATCACTGCGAGCAACTCCACAGTCCTAGTTCTTGCGAGTTCCGGACATCACATTGTCGGTACTGATAAAAGACGGCACACATCGGGAAAGCTTTCTTCAAAAGAAAGAAAAATGCACAAAGCTCCGTACAGGCACTCGACCGGCAGGAAAATCATGGCCCCTTTACGGAACCGTCAGGCACGCTGGATGACTTGTACGCCGTAAAACCGCGACGGGAGCCGGCAGAGTAGGTTATGATAAGCCTGGAAGTTCAGGGTGTTCCTCTCAGATTTGAGGTGGACTTGGGAGCTGCGTTTTCTTTGATCAGCAAACAAACGTTCCAAGCAGCGTGGCCAAGGACCCTCCGGAATTTACAGACAATAACATCGCTCTGCGTACCTGGTCTGGGGAAGGAATTGAATCTCTGGGAACAATTCACGTCATTGTCTAGTTCAAGAAACTGAAAGTGAACTTGCCTCTTCTTGTGATGAAGCACCCCGGATGTAACCTTCTTGGGCGCAATTGGTTAGCAGCCTGGGAATTGGCCGCAGTGGCATGCACCAAATGGTAGTGGACGGCAGCCTGACAGCCTTCATCGAAAGGTACGGGTCAGTGTTTGACGGGAGCCTGAACGGCTACAACGGGCCAGGGGTAAGCCTAAAACTGGAAGACAATGCGTCACCCAAGTTCCTACGAGCTCGCACTGTGCCATTCACTTTCAAACCAGCGGTGGAAGACTAGCTGCAACGTCTCAGTGAACAAGGCACCCTTGAACAGACTCAGCACTCGAGTCGGGCAACTCCCGTTGTAGTAGTGAGGAAGAAAAACAGCAGCATCAGACTTTACGGTGACTACCGGAGCACCGTCAACGCTGTGACGCTCAAGACGTCATATCCACTGCCGACAGTGACAGTGGTGCTCGCAAAGCTGCGGGGAGGGAGTGTTCTCCACCATCGACCTGGCTCCAGCATACCAGCCGTTACGAGTCACCGAGAACACAGCTGAAGTTCTGACCATCAACACGATAAAGGCACTTTATCGTGTCAATCGACTTCCTTTAGGCGTCTCAACAGCACTAGTCATTTTCCAGAAATGCATGGAGACAACACTTGCTGGGATATCCGGTGTCAGCGAGTATCTGGACGACATCATTCTCAGTGGTGCCACAACCGCGGAACACGCCCAGCGCCTGAACCTTGTCCTGTCAAGACTTCAAGAAGCTGGCCTGCGAACAAACCGTGAGAAGTGCCTATTTCGCGTTCCTGAGGTAACATACCTAGGCCACACGATCGATGCGGTTGGTGTTCATCCAATCAACGACAAGATCAAGGCGTTCAGGGAGTTGCCAGAACCAACGTCAAAAGCTACGCTGCAGTCGTTTCTCGGAATGCTCGCATTCTACGAGAGGTTCTTAGAAAACCGATCGACTGTAGCCTGCGATCTATACAGACCACTAGCCAAGAACGTCCCTTGGCACTGGGAAGGGCGCCATGCCCTCGCTTTCCGGAAGTCGAAAGATGGTACTTCGCAAGGCAACGTTGGCTCACTACGATCAGTCAAAACCACTGCGTCTGTCCTGTGATGCGTCACCATATGGCGTCGGCGCAGTTCTTGTGCAGGTTGACCACGAGGGCAGGGAAGCTCCAATCGCATTCGCGTCAAGAACTCTACGGGATGCCGAGAAAGATTACTCACAGCTTGATCGAGAAGGATTACCTGTCGTGTTTGGGGCGATGCACTTTCACCAATACATCGCCGGACGAAGTGTCGTTATTATTACCGATCACCAACCACTGCTTGTCATCTTGGGACCGCAGAAGCCGGTACAAGTCTTGTCACCCCGAATGCGGCGATGGTGCGTCAAACTATCGGCGCACGATTACAAACACGTGAACAGGCCTGGGAAACAACACCAGAACGCGGACGTTCTAAGCCGTCTGCCCCTACCTGACAGTGACGACGAGCCTTGCTCAGCAGAAGACGTCCTGATGATTAAAGCCTTGAGAAGCTCTCCGCCGACAGCAGAGAAGATAGCAGCCATGACATAAGCGGATTCGATTCTGTTCCGCGTCGACGAGTCTGTTCAGCAAGGCAAGCTTCATGAGCTCACGGAGGAAACTTTACCGCGTACAGAAAAAAAGGCGCACAGATGTCCACTCAAAGAGGATGTGTCACATGGGGATCCCGGGTGGTCATACCAGCCTTGGCACGTCCTGAAGCCATGAACGTAGTGCATGCTGGACACATGGAAGTTGTGGCCATAATCTGCACGCAGCTATGTGTTGTGGCCTGGCATCGACCGCGGCATAGAGGAAGCTGTTGGCAGCTGCCCCATCTGCCAAGAGTCAAGGAAGACACCAAGCAAGGCACCGCTTCCTACGTGGGATCACGCATCACTTTCTCGGGACACGCTGCATTTGAACTTTCCAGGGCCTCTGGAAGGAAACTTGTTCCTTGTCGTTGTAGATGCTTACAGGAAGTGGCTAAAAGTTCGAAGCATGACTAATGCCACATCTGCAGCGGTCATCAAAGAACTCCGAGGTATGTCGCAACTTTTAGACTGCCTCGCAAGATTGTTTCCGACAAAGGAAGCTTCTTCGTATCCAAGGAGATAACGGACTTTTTTGACAAGAATGGTGTGAAGTTTGTGACCATCGCTCCGTACCATCCAGTGACAAATGGCCAAGCCGAGCGCATGGTTTACGAACTTCAGCAAAGTTTGACAAGAGAGAAAACGGAATCGCTGTCACTGAGAATTTCTAGATTCCTGTACAAACAACACAACTCAGTTGGCAGCTCGACAGGAAAAACACCAGCATTCTTGATGTTCAGCAGGTAGCTTACTACCAACATCAGTAGACTCTTTCCTCATCCAGAAAGTAGTCACAAGGAACGAGCTACGGAAAAGTCACCGCCGTCCAGGGTGTTCCACGAGGGACAGGCAGTCTATGTACTAAACTTCAAAAGAACTCCTAAATGGATCCAAGAAAAGTTCACCAAAAGACTTGGAAGTCGCTCCTGGCTGGTGGAGACGGCAACTGGATCAACCCGCCGTCACGTGGATCAGATCAGGCGTCGATTAACGACATCAACTCCATCGGCTGAGCGGCCTGTTCCTGCTCATGTTTTCGACTCTCAACAGGATCACCCTAGCGAGAGATCGTCATTCCAAGATAATTCCGAGACGACACCGAAACACACGACAGACGCCGGAAGCGGAAGAAGGGAGCAACCCCCAAGAAATAGGCACCCTCCAGAACGCTATGGGAGCTACATCTGAGGGGGAAGAGGTGTTATGTACCGACGCCACCGACAGGTGGACTAAGCAGCCGACGCTGCGAGCCTCGTGACAATTGCATGCCAGCGAGAGCTCGGGAACTTGTTCCTGGACCGAGAACCGCGACGGGCGCACCGTCCACACCGTAAAGCTGACAATAAAGCTTGTACTTATCAATTACTCACACATATACTCTTTACTTTTGATTCAGACCACTCTGTGCTTCTTTAATGATGCAATCTTATTTCTGTTTTTAACGTCAGTTATTATGTTTTAATTAACCTAATGCATCGACCTACTTAAAAATAAGCCACATGAGATGAACCATTAAATCTTATTAGAAACGTTTTCACATCTAAGTATGAGAAGAATCGATGTCATACCGAGGTTCACATAGAGATGCGCACTTTATTCTTGGAATGCAGCCGACCAATGGAGTCAACATACGTCAGTGCCCAGTGCTGGTAAGTCAAAATTATTCTAGCTGCGATTATGCGAAGGTCGCCGCATGTATGAGACACGCCGTACTAGAAAAATAGCGTCAGCACTGACACGGCTTGCCGATAATTTCTACCTACCATTGGTACGGAAAAATGGTTCAGAAAAGGAAAGGGCGAGGAGGAAGGGCGCACACTGCTTCTTCGTCGACTTTTACTTTGATTGTCGAACTGGGAGCTCCCAACAATACTGAGCTACCGAGAGCAAATGGAAAAGGTATAAATTCAGCTTTTTGTATATCTTACATGTGGACAACTTCCTTCGGTAAGATCTTACTTAACGTTGTTTTTTTCGATGTAATTTACAAAATAAGTGCCGTCATCAAAAGTACTGAATGGTGAAGACTCAAAACTTCAATAAAAAAAATCTACAGTATTTTTAAGATGTGGATGAAATTAACGTAGTCAAACACATATCATTTAAATCATCTGTTTTTTTTTCCCTTCTGGTTGGGTCGGTTGGTTTATCGGAGACAATGCATGCGCAAAAAAGGCAAAAGAGAACCAATAATATACACAAACAAAAAGCTTTACCGGAAAAACATTAAATTAAATAATGCACGTAAATGGTAACGAAATAAAGGCACTAAAAATTTACAAACACTAGTTTTATGCATTTTATTTTAAACAAGCCTTCTAATTAACAAGTGCGACCCGCATTAAATTTTTTTCCTTTTCTGAGTTTTTTGTGTTCCTTTTTTTTGGCTTTGCAAGGCGTGTTTTACCACCGCTATTTACTGGACAAGTATCCCATTAAATGCTGGCAAAACCTGTTACATATTCTCTTTGGCACCTTAATCTGGTAATAGCAACTACAAAGGAACCACTTGCCAAGTGCGACAGTAAGATGCACATGAATTAGAGCCCATACTTTTCACAATCCGGAAACGTTCCTATTTCGCCCGACAGAGTCAAATCCCTGACAATGGGGGCACAGCCAGCGACGGCAGCTCTTACCTCACAATGTGAACTACGGTGGTCCGCGAAAGCAGTCGTAAACGGCTGCAAGAAAAGTCTGCTCCCGCTCATCTGGCATCGACCATGGACTTCCGTCAGCGGCAAGAAGGAAAAGATGTTCGTCCCTAGCCTTCGTGAAGCGAGCCGCCGTCGGCGCATAATTGCATGGCCTTTTCGCCCCCGCTCCGCGTGCAGAGACAAGGGCGCTTCGGACGTTCCCGTTCGCGCTGCGTTCACGGGACGACAAGTGTTTCTTATCAGGGAGAGGGAGAGAGAGAGAGAGAGCTGTTTCTTTTAGCCAAGTGCAGGTCCGTAGAATCTCTTGCTTCAACGGAACGATAGCTGGCTCCTCTGGCAAGCGTGGCTAATCTCGAACCTACAGCAGCGCAGACAACGAGCCTGCTGAACGGTGCATCTGTGACCGTGGCACCGAGCAACATTAGACTCAGGGTTGCCAGACATTTACAGGTTATTTTACAGCGACGCTGTATATGGCTAAAGTTCCATCATAACTTCGGTGAATTTCTTTGCTAAATCTGTACACATAATGCTTTACATGTATAAAAACATCAGCTTTTATATACGTAAAACATATATAAAGATTTTAATTTAGCAAAGCATCTCACCGAAATTCTGATAAAACCCATTAGTGTACATCATAGTGATCACAAAGCAATCACCACTACCGTTTCAAAATGATATATGTATTCTGTAAATAAACATTTGGTGAAGTGCTTCTGCCTGTCTCTTGGCAAATCACTTATGGTGGTGCTCTACAGCTTCGCTGGCCAACCACCTACACAGATTGTAAGGTCTCACAATTTTTAAAAGGGCGTATCATTATCGTTTTGACACTCTACCTTACAGATATGTACTACAAAAGCTTGAAGTGTGCAGAGGACATATAGATATTTTTCTTCTAAACTACGTTTCCGGTAATATGAGTTCGAAGGATTTATTGGGGTCATTTCGCTTCCATGTTTTCTGAAGTACCAAAAAGAACACATTGACGTCTTAGCCTCTTGTATTTTTATCTGCTTCAGAAATAAATATTCAACCTATGTTTAATGATATCCATGAACATAACAATATTATTTTCATTCGCCCTCTTGAAGTTATTTTACATGCGCGCGAATGAATATATTTCCCATGTTGCAGGGCGGGATTGTTGAAGCTTTTTTTGTTTGTGATATTCGTTTGTTATATATTTTGTGGCATTGACTTTGTGTCTTACAGAATGCAAGTTATACTATGTGCACCACAATGAGGACAAACTGCGGTGCGCATAAATATTGCACGCAACGAAAATTAAAGGAAGTAATATTATAAATACAATTACTCTTGCTATTGCTGCTATCTTTTTATCTGCGTTTACAGAATGTGAAAAGTGATCGAGATGTGCGAAAGCACGCCTCCCCGTCACACCTCAAAGAAGACATGTGTGGAACGGCGAGAGGTACATGTTCCACGTGTGATGGGCACTGCAATGTGGCCTACGTTGTTTAAATTTTAATTCAGGTCGAAGATCCTCAACTGTATTTTAAGATAACAAAACACACAAAAAACAGTATTTGTGTAAATTATGTTTGAATTTTAAACTAAAATCGCACTGTCTTTGATCTAAAATGGTTTATTCAAATAGGAAGAAGTGCTATCCGGAAAATCAATCATTCCATTTACGTCTAAATTTTGAAAAGCAAGGCAATTCACTTGAAAGCAACATTGCATTTTGTGCTAAACATCTTCTCTGAGACGTTTCAGAATTTTTCTACAGGTAAATGTAGAAACTTATACCTTTCAGTTCATTGTCTGGTGATATAGTAAACAGCGCTCTGGGTTGATAAACGCCTGCGCTTTTGTTTAACTACAAGTCTAAATCCAGGCTTTCTTGTTCCTGCATTAGCTACCTTACAGGCTTACATTACTACTTTCTATGCCACTTTATCAGGGGTGTTATTGACCCCGAAATCAAAAATGAAAGTGATTGTATTGTTTATTACGTAAGCAAATTTACTTACGTAGCTTCACTCTCAGCAGAAATTATAGGGCATTGTTTTTAAAACTTACACAGAAATCATACTTGGGTAGTAATTCAATTACAGTAATTGAATTACGGTAATTTAATTACTCTTCTTGGTACCTTGTAATTGTAATTAATTCATTTCGGCTAAAAGGAATTGTAATTGTAATTTAATTACTTGTCAGCGTCAGTAATTGCAAAATTTCAGGCACCATTACAATTATTTTTTCTAAACTGTGTGGCGCCGGCAGAACCTCTATGAAAGCCTCAGCGCCCGCAGAAGCGGCCTAGATTTCGGTGAAACGCTCGCACAAAGACACGCACTCACACACATATACAACATAAATAGAGTTACATTGTTTGTTGTTTTGTTGCTTACACTGCGAGCTGAGAGACATTTCTCTTTGGAGCCTACCTCAACGGCGCCATGCAGCGCCGTCTGTGGTGCGAGCAGAAAACAATGGCGCAAACATGCCAAAATATTGAAAGATAAAAAAATAGCTTCAGCTTTCAGCTGAGGTTGCGAATTTTAATTATCTATAAAGTTACCTGTCTTTCTTTTTTGATAGTTTTTTTACGTCCCTCTTCCAGTACTGTCACATATTTACATCGTTTTATTATTTTCAAGTTTATTTCCTGTAGGTTTTACTTCGGATATTATTTGCATAAGCATTTGGGAGACTGACCTTCCACCTGGGAATATTGACACCAATGATTCGGGAGCCCCGATTTGGTTAATTCTTATATATTTCTGAGTCATTATATTTTCAACTCAATGTAAATAATTTACAATACCAATTTAAAAGGTTAAAAAGCGCAACACAACGAGGACAATGAAGACACGAAGACGACAGGACGGGCGCCCGTCCTGTCGTCTTCGTGTCTTCATTGTCCTCGTTGTGTTGCGCTTTTTAACCTTTTAAATCAGTATGAACCAACTCGCCCAAACACAAGTTTTAATACAATACCAAGATGTTTGTATGTGAGATCGGTCGTATTAGAGCGTGAGAATTTTAGTTTCATAATAACACTATTAAGATATTCATATATGACTAATTGTCTCATTTCTATTTGCCTGACTAACAGTCTCAACACAAGTTTTTTCTTTAGCAATCTGGCGTCTTCCAGCATATGAAATAATTTATTATTATTTATTAAACATATAAGAGCGTAGTACTTCCTTGATTCAAACTATAATTTTCTATCATGAATTTAACAAAATTAATAAAAGGAACGTACAATACGTGGCATTTATTCAGCGATGCTTAAACGGCCTCAAACATTGGGGCAAGGAATGAACAAATCCGTTGAATTCTATACAACTCGTTTAAAGTTACATGAACCAAATCGGGTCGCTCACAGATACAAGTAATTGTAAAGTAATTGCATTACTTTTAAAAAGTAATTTGTAATTGTAATTAATTACATTTCATCTACTAGTAATTGGAATCGTAGTTAAACTACTTTTGAAGCTAAGTAAATGTAATTGTAATTAAATTACATTTTGGAAGTAATTTACCCATGCATGACATAAAAGCATAAAGCAAAGGATATTACGATCATACTATACTATTTCCCAGTAAAAAAAGTAAATTTATTTTAAATTAGCAAGGCTAAATTACGTTTGCGTAAATCTGAGGGAAAATTTAATTAGAAGTACGCATTATATGCAGGTGCGGCGCAGAGCGTCCTTCCGGATGTTATATGTTATTCCGGTGCTTAAAGGGCAATTATATCACAAACAATGGCTAAGGTAGCTGTTCTTTCTTTTTACCAATCAGCTCCGGAAAATTTCAAAGAAACCGGTATCCAAAAAATTAATAACAAAAGGCACTTTACGTCAATGTCTACTAAGGTTATCGAAACGTTAGTGCACAAACCTCCAAGTCAGCTAATAAAAGCACGGCTAAAAATAAAAGAAATTTCGGTAAGTTCTATACTGGTGGGCTACTAGATCACAGACGAAAAAGCAAAAGACGAAGGAAGTGCGAAAGGAACAGAATTATTACAAATGATAAATAAAATAAGAGGAAGGAGGACGATAACGAACGCGATAGGTTGTTTATGCTCCGGCCTTCAGATTATGTCAGTGCATGCATAAAAAAATACTATTTCTCGGAAGACGTCATTGGACGTAATGTTTATTCTACCCTAAAAAAGCATTTGGTGTGTACAAGCTGACCGCTTTATAAGAAAGGTGGTTCAAATGTTTCATAGTTCGATCAAGAGTAACCATTATATAAAGAAGAAAGGCAGAGTTTGTATCCTGCTGAAGCAATGGCATTGACGTGGACGTCTATGATTTTCAGCACCATACATCACTTAGAATTTATCTTTATCTGAGCAGTCACACTAACACAACATCCTATTTTGTTTTGTTATTTTCCGTTCTCCTGTATCAAATCTCACCACTCTTTTTGATATGGTTACACAAGGTGTATTGCCACTATAAAATTACTCGAAGGGACCAGTAGATCTAGATCCTACTGAATGTTGGCACGTGCCAGGCGTTCAAGTAGAAGATATACAGAGAGGTTACGGAATCTACAATGGTTACAAAGCCTGAACCTTTTTTATCAAATCACTGATGAAATGTAGAAGCACCATAGTTTGACTTGTCCCATATTTTAATTTTTAGAAATAAATAAAACAGCACAAGGAAGGACAAAACGACAAGAACAATTTAAGACACACACAAACACAGCGTTGACTATATGTAACAAATAAGGATGCAACAAGGTCAGAGTTCAGGAATAACCTCAGAGGTTAATGTAAAGACTAGCATATAACTACAAGCTGTTGGAGAGAAAAAGTCCTAGAGACTTGCTTTCATACATTTTAATGAAAGAAAATCACAGTCGACAGATAGCGCTGTGTTTGTGTATGACCTCTACTTTTTCTTTTGTTTTAGCACGGTTTTATTTAATATTGTCACGAATGACAACTGATGAGGCGGCGAAAAGCAGACTAAACTGAACGTTTAATGGGGCGATCTTGTGCCCAAAAATAAAAAGGAAAAAGAGAATAACAACAGAGCGTCGCGGGCGTCGAAGTCGGCGTAACAGCTGGATCGAACGCTGGGGCGAAGCTGACTGCGGCTTGCCTCGCCCTTTTGTACACGCGTGGGCTTCTGGAACATTTGGCGTAGAAGGTTCGGCGCGTAGAACATTCTAACCTGGAATCAGCCACACTGCTCACGAATTTACCACAGCTTCACGTTCCAGAGTCAACAAAAATGTGCACCCGCGGCCAGGAATCGAACCTTGGCTTTTTGCGTGGAAGACACGTGAGATAACCGTT